TTTTCAGGGTGTCTACTTTGACTTTGAGGTCTTTGATCCATTTAGAGTTGGTGCAGGGTGATATATAAGGATCTTGCTTTAGTTTTCTACAAGTGATTAACCAATTTTGCCAGCACCATTTACTGAAGAAGCTGTCTTTCTTCCAATCTTTTTTTTAGCTCCCTTATTGAAGATTAGGTGGCTATACGTCTGTGGGTTCATTTCTGGGTTTTCAATTCTATTCCTGAGGTCTCTTCTTGTGTCAGTACCAAGCTGTTCTTATTACTATGGCTTTATAGTAGAGTTCGAAATTTGGTTACTCCAGCACTGTTGTTTCTGTTGAGGATCATTTTTGCTATTCAGGGTCTTTTCTTGTTCCATATGAATTTTGGGGTTGCTTCTTCTATTTCCTTGAAGAATGAGGTTGGGATATTGATAGGTATTGCGTTGAATTTGTAGATAGCCTTGGGAAGTTTTGCCATTCTCACAATGTTGATCCTTCCAATCCAGTAGCATGGGAGGTTTTTCTACTTCTTAAGTTCTGCTTTGATTTCCTTTTTCAGGTTTTTAAAGTTTCCATCATAGACGTCCTTCACTTCTTTGGTTAATTCCTAGGTATTTTATTTTTTGTGGGGCTATTATGAATGGAGTGGCTTTCCTGATTTCAGCCACGCTCTTCTTATTATTGGCATACAGAAAAGCCACTGACTTTTGAGGGTTAATTTTATACCCTGCTACTTTGCCAAAGTTTTGAATCAGCTTGAGTAATTTGGGAGTGGAGTCCATGAGATTCTTTAAATACAAGATCATGTCATCTGCAAAGAGGGAGAGTTTTACTTCATCTTTCCCCATTTGGATCCCTTTTATGTTTGCATCTTGTCTTATTGCTGTGGCTAGGCATTCTAATAGTAAATTGAAGAGAAGTGGAGAGAGTAGACATCCTTGTCTCACTCCTGAGTTTAGATGAAATGGCTTACAGCATTAAGTATAATGCTAGCTGCAGGTTTGTCATATATAACCTTTATTGTATTGAGGAATGTTCCATGGATTCCTAATTATTCCATAGCCTTCATCATAAAGGGGTGTTGGATCCTGTCAAATGCTTTTTCTGCATCTATTGAGATAACCATGTGGTTCTTATCCTTGCTCCTGTTGATGTGATATATTATATTAATTGATTTATGTATATTGAACCAGCTTTGTATCCCTGAAATGAATCCTGTTTGATCACAGTGTATGATTTTTTGGATGAATTGTTGAAGTCAATTCACCAAAATTTTGTTGAGAAGTTTTGCATCGATGTTCATCAAAGAAATGGGTCTATAGTTCTCTTTCTTTGATGAGTCCCTGCCTGGTTTTGGGATGAGGGTTATGATGGCTTCATAGAAAGAGTTCAGTAGTGAACTTTCAATTTCAGTGAAGAGTTGGAGGAGTATTGGTGTGATTTCTGCTTCAAAGGCCTTGTAGAATTCTGCTGTAAATCCATCTGGTCCTAGGCTTTTCTTAGATTGGGAGGTCTCTTATTGCTGTTTCTATTTCAACGCTTGATATGGGCCTGTTAAGTTGGTTTTCCTCCTCTTTGTTTAGTTTTGGCATGTCAATATTTGCTAGGAAATCTTCCATTTCTTCCAGGTTCTCAAACTTATTAGCATAAAGGTTGAGAAGAATTCCCTTATAATGTTCTGAATCTTGGTTGTTTCTATGGTGATGTTTCCATTCTCATCTCTGAGTTTATTTATTTGGGCATGTTCTCATCTTTTTCTGGTAAGATTTGCTAAGGGTCTATCAATTTTGTTAATTTTTTCGAAGAATCAACTGTTTTGTTGATTCTATGGTTTTTTATTGTAATTTAATTCTGATTTAATTTTCATTATTACTTTCCATCTACTGGATTGGGGTTTATCTTGCTGCTCTTTTTCAAGGAGGTTCATGTCTCATTAAATTATTGGTTTCAGATCTCTCCAATTTGTTGAATACATCAGTCTTTGTGAATGAAGGAGAGAACAGAGATAATATCAAAGAGGAAAATGCTGCATCATATACATCATTGTAAACCATTTTAAGGACTCTGGCTTTAAGTACTGTACCTCTACCAGGTCTGTACAGAATGGATTACAAGACAGAAAGCATTTGAAGTAGAGGCCACTGTTACAAAGGTATTTTCCAGGGAAAAGGACCTAAAAACTTATTTATTGACCATTCATTCATATTAGTACAGAGCTTGTATCAGAGACACTATAAGATATAGATATGGTGTGACAGGCAAATGTCCTAAGCCATAAAGCCTGATTCTGTGGGATGGTAAGCAACATGAACATCCCACGGTTCAAAATCTTCTAAATGCTCCCCGCTAAGCCACAGAAATTAAAATTATGAATACAAAAAAATCTTGGTATTGCAGATAAAAACTGTTCCTCAAAAACTCAATTATATAAACAGGCCTTGGGCTGATATTCTTGTCATTCAAGATTTCGTCTTGAGAATTATAGTGGACATTTTTCTGTCAGAAATCATTTAAATATCCAAGGAATTAAGAATGAACAACATATCTGGGTTTATTCTACCAATCATAATTAGTCACAGAACACATATTATAAGTAATTATTTCAAACACAACCATTTGTGAATAGATTAATTTAGCAGTCATAAAAGAAGAGCAAAGGGCAGACTGAAATGGCCAAATTTGTCTAAAACCTAGTGGATACCATTTTCCAAACAAATTGCTGATGCATAAAAATATTATCCCTTGAGGCTGGATGACTGGCTCTAGTACCCCTATAATGATAAGCCCGCAATCTCTGAGGACAGATAGAAACTAGTCTCTGCTGTCAAACTGTCACAGAATTATTAAATATGGAGAGGAAAATGACTCAAACAGTATGTAATGAGCTCCTTTTTCATTCGCTCACCACACAAGCACATCTGTGGATTGTTAATGACTCTGAAATGGATGAACCAAATTGATGAGAAAGAAACCATCTCTCAGGGATAAGACAACGGGAAGCAAATACACACACTGTTTATAAAACATGAATTAAAATATGAGGGATTTATAATGTTTTGTGAAATACTATATACAGTGTCATACAAATGTAATTATTGCTCATTTTCATATTCCTTTCCTCTATGCTTTCAGCACCCATCCTTAATCTCTCTGTTTATACAGGATGCTCATGCACGCCACTCCTTAGCACGAACTTATGCCATTAGTATGGGAACTTGTTAAGCATAACTATTGGCTTGTTGACCTTTCATTTAGTGTGTGGTTTTGTATAAGTCCTCAATAGCTAAAATATGATGAATGACATTCAGAAGAAATGGAACAACTTACTCCATGTGATGTCAAACTGCAGCAAGCATATTAAGAGGATTATATTCCCAACCATACACTTTAGCTATCACTTTTTTTAAAAAACTCTTTTTATTGTAAGGGTGATATACAGAGGAGTTACAGTTACATAAGTCAGGTATTGAGTACATTTCTTTTGGAACAGTGTCTTCTCTCTCTCTCTCTCTCTCTCTCTCATTTTGTCCCCATTTTCCCCTACTTGAACCACCCACCCTTTCAAGTTGTATAGTTCATTTCCAACATAGTGCCTTTTGAGCATATTTAGAGATTTCTGAGCTTACCTGACTTCTGAGAGCACAGAATTGGAGAATTTTGACTTGTGTTTTAATACAAAGGATGAAGTAACATCAATAGGAAACCCAGCTTATTATTTGGTATTAAAGACACAGCCTGGAAATTAACAATAATACGTTCATTCTCACGACAAACAACAGAGCGGTATTTGTAAACATGGGGCTACATAATCCTGAGGAAATCACCTTTAATAATTAGATCCTGAGCTGTGTGGGCCAGAGGAAGAATAGCACTAAACACCATTTTACACACAGGGCTTTATCTAATATAAATATGTACACTAAGTAGTACTAAAGGGTCACAATACCTTTTTCCACATGGTTAAAAACACTAAGAAAAAATAGTAATTAAGGGGAAAACTACATTGAAACTAGTTGATATATTTTTACCAGCAATCCATGGTCAACAATATAGAATCTTTACAAAAAATGCTACTTTTATATATTACTCTTTACTAAAACCTAAGTTTAAACATACTTTAAAAGTGACCTTTTAACTATAACATATGTCTTCACACTTACTCATGTAAAATTTATTCTTACACACAACCTGTTTGTAAAGAATTCACATGGTATCCTACAAATTGTGTTATAATATTTTTAGTCTTTTCCCCAAGAAAAACAAAAGTAGCTTCACTTTTGCATAAAATTTTGTTCACAGATCTGGAGAGTATAGTAAGACACAGGTAAATGAAATAGAAATCCAGCATCTCAATTTCCAGTGCAAGGCACACTTGATTAGCAGACAGAAGGCTTCCTGGCTGCTTCTAGGGCCCGGAAGATTCTGTAATTTAAAAAGCTGCACCTTCAATCAGTTTCTCTCTTAAGTGTTTTTGTTCTATATCTCCCCACCCCAGTTACCTAAAAACTAAGCAACAAGGTCAATCCAATCCAATGCCTCTTTCTATTCAAATAAAATGGAAATGTTGACCATTTCACATTTAAAGAGCAAATACTTTCTCATACTGACAACCACATTCCATTGGCTTTTCCTGAAAGCAAAGTGTGACAGATGCCTTGGCTGTAATTGCCAATCAGCCTTTACACAGCACCTGAAACGCACAATATATCACTTTGATCTCCTTTACTCTAAACACATCCACAGTCAAGATACCTGAATAAAGACTAAGAAATTGGCATCATTTCCAGAAGTTGTCGCTGGTAGCACTTAAATACTGTAATATATATTTTGCTCATATTTTCATTTCCCTGTTTCAGAGACACTCTGCTAAAACCCTGAAAAAAATCCACCTGTAAACATATAAATGTCTCTACATATATAATCTGAACAGAAACAATACCACCACCGCTAGATCCTTCTCCAATTATGAACCTGAAGATGAAAACAAGGTAAGAATTCTCAAAAAAGTTGTACTCACATTTTGCAGGAAGGTCATAGCCACATGTGATTTTTGCATGTCCCGTATCACAGCCATTCAGGGTCCGGCACTCGGCTAGCAAGCAGGGGCCAGCGGCTCTGTGAATACAGCCATCCACTAGGAGAGAATGGGGGAAAAATTAGCCCTCTTGGAAATAAATATAAAACTTAAAATGAAAGAAAAAGAATTCAATTTTTTCTCATAAAAATACTGTCTACATTTTTGTTTTTCTCCGTGTGTGTGTGTGTGTGTGTTTGGTTTTTGGTTTATATGATGAGCAGAAGCAACAAGCAATGGAAGTACTGTGATAGTAAATGTTACAGCTACTCTCAGAGAGGCAAGTAGATGATGGGTAACATTTTCTATTTGTATAACTACAGCTATGATTCAATAACACCTTATCATTCAATGTCACTGAGCACAAAGACTTGAGAAGAAATATTAACATCTTGTTGTTCCCAAACTGTGAACTGTTATCTCCAATACACCACATTTTAGAAGGTCAGGGAAAAAAAAACAACTTTGGAACATTTGTGCTCACCTCACAAGTTAGTCACTGAAAGTAATGCTACCCAAATGAGATTCAAACTCTACAGAACTTCTCTCCACAGAAGCACAATGCAAACAGGAAGGCGTTTCCGTGAGGATTCCGTATGCCAGCAGAGGTACCAGACAAGATTAGGTCTTAATAAATGGTCCAAAGTTCCCTCCCTCCCTCACTTGCCACACACCAAAACAGAACTGCTGCAGCTGTTCTTACTCTAAAAAAGTAGTTTTCTGCCTGTGTCAGCCTCAGGTGTCCACAGTTATACATTCAGCGATCATAGCGAGATCGCAATACATCACTTGGAATTATAGCTTTATGTGACTCAAAGGTGAGAGCATAGGAAGACTAAAAGAGCTGGTGTTCATAGGCTAGGAAATTGAGAATTTGGGTGTTTATTATTGAACAGGACCTAGGAACAGAAAGCAAATGCATGTATGAAAAACAAAGGAAAGAGACAGAAAGGAGGAGTTAAGAGTAACCTAGAATGTGGGTATAACCGTGTTATCCTAGTTACTTGGGAGATGGAGATGGGGAGAACTGTGGGTAGAGGGCAGCTCTGACAGAAAAACCTGCAGGATTTCATCTCCAAAATAACCAGTAGAAAAACTACGCTGGACACAGGACTCAAAGGAGAGAGCACTAAGTCAAATGGGCTAAGATGAGCAAGTTTGAGGCCCTGAATCCTGGCCAACAAGAGAGAGAGAAAAAGAGAATAATCTAGAATGTGAAAACGGACTCAACATTAGCGATCTAAAGAACTCCTTTCCTCTCCATAGTCTATAACACAAAGCAAATAACCATTGGTCTCAATTATTATCACTAATATTGTAGAAGGAAGCTGTATATGTCAGCCAGACATTGGTAGTGCAGGAAGCCTCACGTTCCAGAGTTGGCTTCTGTTGCCACTGACTAGCTTCAGGTGTTACTTTTCTCTGAACAAGCCTCCCAGGGAAAACAAGGTCACTTTAGATCGTATAGAACTAAGTTGAAATCTATGTTCTACGTACTTTTCCAGCCATACGATGGTCTAACCTCCAATATCCTCATAAACCAGTGTCAATAAAGGAGCCCCTCATATCATTGTCTATGGACTTTGGATATGTTTGTGAACAAAAGGCATTCAGCAGACACTTAATGTAACGTTATTAATGATAATTATCTTACACAACACAACCAAAGTTCTGTTTAAGTTTTTTTAATTATATTTTTACCATCATTAAGTAGTTGTACAAATCCATATGTAAGTACAATGCATCTTGATCAATATCACCATTTTCATCATCTTTTGGGTTTTGTGTGTGTGTGTATGTGTGTGTGTGTGTGTGTGTGTGTGTGTGCGCGCGCGCGCGCGTGAGCACGCACGCACCGTGCTGGCCTTAAGGCTTGAACGTTAGGCCTGGGCACTATCCTTGGCTTTTTTTTTTTTGCTCAAGGCTGGCACTCATTTTAACCACAGCTCTATTTCCAGCTTTGTGCTTGTTAATTGGAGATAAGAGTCTTACAGACTTCCCTGCATAGGTTGGCTTCAAACTATGATCCCACAGATCTAAGACTCCTGAATAGGATTACAGGTATAAGCAACCAGAGCCTGATGCTGTGTAAGTTTTAAAACAATATTTTTCCTTATGATAAGATGAAAATTATGGAGCAGCAACAATATGAGAACTACCATTTAAATCTAGTATCCAGAGAAAGCTAATATTCTGATAGTCATTCATTCAAAATAGTTTTCACTTTTAATTTTATTAATATGTGTATAAAAGATCTATATATATGAAAGCTGAATTAGAGGGAGTTCTGGAAGGAAAAGCTGGGAGAAAATGAAAGAAGAGGTAAAACTGTTCAAAGAAATATATGTATTACCTGACTTATGTAACTGTACTCCCACTGTACATCACCTTTATAAGTAAATAAATAGAAAGGTGAAGTAATCTATAATCATGAAAATGTGAAGATTCTCAGATGTTCATCAACAAGGAGCTTGTTAAGTAAATAAAAGCCCATCTGTGCCATCGACCATATTTGCAGCTCTTACAAAGACTAAGCAAAACAGTCTTAAACATGAAAAAAGTTCTAGGCAAAAGTGCCAGGTTTAGAAGAATATGTATATAATAGTCACAGTTTTATTAATAGCCATATACAAAATCTTGTGCCTGTCTTCACGTACTTATGTATATTCTAGAAAGATGTATATGGGATTATGGGATTGGAAATAGGCAAAGACTATAGGAGTGGAAATAGGCAGAGACTATTAGGGAAAAATACGTGCTAATTTCTCTATTTAATTTGTTCTCAAGAGACGAGAGAAGTGTGTTAAAGTGAATTTTTTCTTGGCAAGGAGGTCATTAGTTGGCTTCAAAGGAAAAATTGAAATAGCATTTGCTAACGTATTTAATCCTATGCTGTCAAATATTGTCTGCGTTATTTAGTTGCAGATGATGCAGTTTGTAGATACCCAATTATTAATATTTTCACAGTTACATCAGTATTCCTGACTACCAGAGGACATTGGAACTAGAACTATTTAATAATGATGATAGTATAAATGTATTGAATGAGTCTTGGAGCCAAGGAAACCCTGCAAAGTGAATACTAATTTTTATTATAGCGATTTTATGAGCATTTAAAAAAGAATAGTAACTTTCCCATACTCACAAAAAGTGGAAATAACACTCCAATCCCAAGATTTGTCTGGAACAGCAAAAATACATTAAACCCTTATTTTGATCACTTTCAGTTCTCAAACGAGGCAGGCTTACCTGAATTCTTGTAAGTGACATTAAACCACTATCACATTTTAAAATTTCCATTAATTCTGTTTATGATTTCAAATGTGATCAGACGCACAGACATTGAGCCTGCAGTTTTAAAGTATTTTAACAAATGTGTACAATCACCTCAGCAGGATGCCAAAATGATGTGAAACATTTCCACCAATGCCCAAAGTTTTCTTTTGTTCCTTCCATCTAAATTCCCTTTTTAACCACCCAGAGGGGCCCTTATTTTGATATCAATAAACTTAGCTAACTTTTAGCTATGCTATAGCTTCAAACTTCAGATTGAGGTTTTGATGTTTTTCACTTATCATAGTTTTGAAATTAATTGGCGCTGCATATATTAGAACTTTATTTCTTTTTTATACTTGAGTAATATTCCATTGTTGAATATACCACAATATCTCTATTTAATCATCTGCCAATGGATATAGGATTAGTTACAGTTCTAGTTATTATGAATAAACATAGATACTGTATATGTCCTTTTCTGATTCTAGGTTTTCATTTTCTTGGAAAAAGTCCTACGAACCAATTTGTTATTCTTGATATGGTTTGAGTGTGAAATGTCTTCCACAGGATCCTATGTTGAACTGTTCCTGACTGAGGAACAGGAACTAGGAAGTGGGGCATAGTAAGAGAAAGCAGGTCACAGGTGGGTGGGGGGATGCTTTTGAAGATTATGAATCTGATCTCCTTTTTCTGATCTTTTACTACTTCTTCTCCCTATGTCACAGTGTTCCGCCTCACCGTAGAAGCATGGAGCCAAGTAGCCCTGAAACCCTTTGAAATGAAACCTTCGTCTTTTAAGCTGTTTATATCAGGTACTTGTTCACTAACACATGCAACATTTTATTGAATAATGAATAAATAATTTTTTCAAGTGATTATACCTACCCACATCAGTGTATGATAATTCAAATTGTGGCATTCCCTAGCGTTTCTCAGCTTTTTTTAATTTTAGCAATTCTAATGGCTATAAAGGAATACTCAATTTAAATTTCTCTGATGACTAATGATGGTGAATAGCTTGCCAAGTGCTTATTGGCCATTAATCTATTTCTTCTTGGAAATGCCTGTATATGTCTTTTGCTAATTTTATTGTCCTTTTATTACTAAATTGTGTTAAATCTGCCAATAATTTCAACCCCCTCATCCCCTTTTTTATTTCTAATGTCACGTTCTTTGCAGTTCTTGAAATTTCTGTTTATTATTTCTCTTACTATTTTTATAGCTCTTCTGAAATATCCTATCTCCTAACTCCATTCTTGTATTTTATAATGTGAATCCTTAACAGATTTCACATCTGTCTGTCAGTCAGTCAGTCAGTCTGTCAATCAGTCAGTCTGTCAGTCAATCAGTCAGTCAGTCTGTCTGTCTGTCTGTCTGTCTGTCTATCTATCTATTGTGCTAGTCCTGGGCCTTGAACTCAGGGGCTGGTGTTCTTGCTTGTTTTTGTCCCTCAAGTCTGGTGCTGTACCACTTGAGGTATATCTTTACTTCTGGCATTTTGCTGATTAATTAGAGAAAAGAGTTTCATGGCTGGTTTCCATTTGTGGTCCTCAGATCTCAGTCTTGTGAGTAGTTAGGCTTATAGGCATGAGCCACCAGGACCTGGCTGTTTCGCATGGTGGCTATCAAATCTATTGGTCAGGCCAGCTGTGGGTCTATATATGTCGACTCATTTTTCGTTTGATTCTGCACTACATTTTCTTGTTTCTTTAGATGTGTAGTAATGGTTGATGACAAACTTTACGCTGTTCGTAATATATCACAAAACTTTAGATTCTATTGTC